CCTGCCCCTGGTGTATAGCAATGGGCCATACTATAAAAGCATGCTTTGCCCAGTTATGACACATGCCAAATACATGTCATGTAGATATTGTAAAACTGGTCCTAAGAGTGTCCTGAGAAGACTCGAAAAGGTGACTACATCATATTCTTTCAGTGTTCAGCACAAGAGGAATAGAAGCAAGTGGGCAGAGAGTGGTTTCATGGCAGTGTCCCACAGCATGGTCTGTAGAGGGTAGAGATGCCCAGAGAGACTGAGAGATGGACACATACCATTGACCAGCTGCTAAGGGCAAGCGTGTTAAACATAGGACCCTTGGGCTGGATACAGCCCACGTAGCAGTATGATCTGGCCTGTGGGTCTGGTGTATGGTTGGGACCTATTGCCGGGGGTGCTGCATGGGGTCCAGGGGGGCCAAAACAGGCTGTGCACTCTAGGCAGTGCTGTTTAGACTGGCCCAGTATGCTGGTTTGGGGGCTCGTGAAGATTGCACTGTGCTGGTGCCAGCATACAGGGCCTGTTCAGTAGGGCTCTGTATGCAGCACATGCTCTTTGCAACCCCCCCCCCCCCGCAGCAAGCCACATGCAGCACACTTGGTGAATCTAGCCTGCATACCATCTCTAGCTTGTGCCAGCTGCACCTGGTACCATGCATGGAGCTGGCACAGGGTGCATGCTACATGCTGTACTCTGCTGGACTGGCTCAAGCACTGCTGTGGGGGGCAGGGGGCTGTCGAGCTAGGTCCCTGGCCCCATAGTCCTGGCAGCTGGGGGCCCCTCTGGCAGGGCTGGGAGGGGCAGGGAGCAGATGTGGATGGGAGACAAGGGGCACCAGCAGGGCCAGGGGGTTGTGGAGGGGGTGAGGGGCCCTAGGTGGGCTGAGGGGGGAGGGGAGTGAGGGGCCTGGACTTGCATTCTTTGAGCCTAGGGGGCAGGGGGAGCTCTGATTTTTCATGATAAAAAACCTGAAATCAAATACCAAATGTATAGGTATTTAGAATTTATTTTATTATAGTGATTGAAGCACTTGTAGGCTTCCAAATTACTTTAAAATTGTAAACATATCAATAAAACATTGTGTTCAACTGATATGTATATATATAGTGGCCTTTCATTTTAATCATGGATTTTCGGGGGTTATCAGAGAATTTGTGATTTTTTATCAGGGAAAACCAGGATTCCTATTAATCAGCTAGTCTGGTGATATCATAAGAGAGTTACCAAACTTTTTGCTTGGCCTAAAATATAGTAAATTCAAGGAGCTCAAGCTTTCTAGCATCTGTGGTATGTCAGAGTACTCTGAAGTTAATCCTTATTTTCCCATGTTTTGGAAAGGAGATGCATATAAATGCAGCTTGTCTATCATATTTTTCAGTAGGGGTGTCTATATTAATCATAGAATCATAGCAAATTAGGGAGTTCAGGAGGTCATCTAGTCCGACCCCCTGCTCAAAGCAGGACCATCCCCCAAGTATGTAATGATAACTATAATGATTTTGCAGGTAACTGAACATCAAGATAGTTAAAAAAAACAGTAAAGAAAGTAAGAAATGGGAATGGAGGGGGCCAAGGGGCGGGGAAGGAGGGGAGAGAGGAGAGAGAGAGAGAGAGAGAAAAAGAGAGAGAGAGAAGGAATGCTGTTTTCTAAAGGGTTCCCCTATACAATTCATTTGCAAAATCTACTCAGAAAAGCAATCTTTCTAACATCCAGCAGTGCAGTCAACTTGTCATATCAGGACTTTCTTACTTACTCATAAAGAGTGAATAAATTCACATAAATTGCTGTAATAAGGATTCAGCCCATAGATTCTGTGGCGTAAACACACATCTGGTCTCTGTAATGAGATCAGCTGAAAGCACCACTGTGCATTAATAACAAAAATGTTCAGCATATTGCTCCCAATAAGCCCTGTTCATTCTGAGTCTGAGAGCTTTTATTGTCACATGTTAATGTACTTTTAACACTGATAGATGATGAAGTGCCACCAAACATTCATCAAGAGACTTAAAAGTCACAATATAATGTATAGTTGTAGAGTTGTTTTTATTTCCATTAGCCATTCTGCAACTTAAAGTTAAAAACAGAAGGGAAATACTGTGTATGGAGCAATCTTTACACACTGGTAACAATTTCGCTATAATGGGATAATTCTGTGGATACAAAGAACAAGGAAAATCTCTGTGACAGAAAAAAACAGCTTCTTCACTTGATAATTCTGTGTTTTCAGTGTCTGTTGTCCTTTTCCTGCCCTCCTACCATGAGATCTTCTTCTTTCCCTTCCCTTTTCTATTTCATGTTCTTATTTTAAATCTTATTCCCTCACCCCCACTTCTTTCAAGTGCTGCTATCTGTCACCAGGGCTTTAATATTTTCACTCTCTAGAGTTTTGTAGCCCAAGCCATTGATGTGGCTGTCGGCGCTGCTCACTGCTGTAATATATGTTGTTTAAGTACTGTTTCTTTTGTAACCATCAGCCATGGCTTTTGTATTTGAGGCCCTATGCAGATATGGTGTAAGAGTTTGAATAAAAGGCAGCCAACAGACTCAAAGGATGCAGCATTATACCTTTTGAGTTATGTGGTTGATCCAGGGAGAAGAGCAGTTGCTGAGGTCCGGTCCTTGAGGGTCCCAGATCCCGTCAGGAGGAAGACACAAGAAAGTTGAAACACCTAAAATGAAATGCAGGAAAGATTCTCTGTTACCAGCTATCAAATGCCTTAATCAGTCTGGGCCCTGTCCCACAGACTATTCATTTCATAATGAGCTGAATTCTATTCAGCACTTACCACCCACTTAAACAATGTTTTAAGAACTCAGCTGGGGGGTGTCTGGCTCTCTAGATATCTAATTCCCTCATTACCATAGCTCCTCACCATCTTCAATGTAGTTATTGTCAGGGCAGGTCAGTGAGCTGGATAAGTACCATTATCTCCATTTCAAAGATAAGGAATTTTCAAAACCTAGCCTAAAGAGGATAATTGGAATGCTTAAATGCAGGCATCTATGAAAATAATTTGTATCTAGCCCTAAGTGACATGCCCCAAGTCACAAAGGAAGTTTGGGGGGGGGGGGAAGGAACTGATCTAGGTTTCCCGTGTGCTAAATTAGATCCCCAGTGACCGGGACATCCTTCCTGTCTGCATTGCCTCACTGATGGCTCAAGGATCAGCCCTTGAGCTTGCGCGTCCTCCTCTCCTGGTGCTCTGTGGAGGTTTCTCCACTTGGTATAAGTGTTAAACCAGAGAGATGGAAATACTCAAAGTTTAGAATCTATAAATAATAAGATGTGGTGCAATGCTTCCCCCTTCACCCCTTACTAACAAAAGAGACTTCCAGAGAAAAGCTGTTGCATAAAGACTTCCTAAATTCCCTGCTGGGAAAGACAGCAAAGCCATGTAAGACCTTGCAGACGGACAGAAATACATCCCAAGTGGTTCCATTAGAAACCTTTAAATGCAAGGAAACCGGATGGATGAGCCTGCATCCCATGAGTGTTCTGCACTGTACAACCAAATATATCAACAGGGAAGTAAATTATACATTGGGCCTGATACTCTTCAAAGGGAGCAGGAAGAGGCCCACTGACAATACAGTGCAGTTGTAATGAATCACAGAAATTAGAGGTGGAAAGGACCTACTGGCTGCTCTGGACCATTCCTTGTCAACAAGGGTTTTGTTTTTTTTCTAAAGCCTATTCCAAAATAGTTTATGCAGTCTAGTTTTTTACAACTCATGCAGAAGGAAGACCAGATTCCCTACACAGACCATGCTGTAATCTTGTAAACCTGGTTGCTAGAAAATGGCTCTTGACATTCCACCTGGATTTTAATTTGCTCCATTCCTGTATGCCCTGTCATCACAAATGACCATAACTTTCTTCTCTTGCTCAACTTACAGTGAACTCTAGGCAGGATACTCTGGTACCTACAGCTTAAGTGACCCAGAAGGACTATTAAAAGAAATGTTTTATACCTGGTCTTCATGAGCTATTATTCTTTCTCCTTTCCTCCCACATAAAAGTATTCACCCTGGAAACTCCAATGACTCTGACTGGTTTGAGACAAGCTTCAGAGTTACTGAATGGAAATGTGAATAACTATATAAGACTTAGGGGAGAATTAGTGAGGAAGTTGTCTCCATAATCTCTCTAATCCCTCCAGTCCTTTACTAATATTTGTTGTTCATCAGCAAATTCCCTGAACCTTCTGGTTCTCTTAATGGCATGTAGATCCTCAAAACTGGCATGCAGGTCATCAAAACTGTACACTAGCACTGGTTAAATGAAATAGCTCTTTGAGATATTTTGCTAACATATAAACCACCTTTTCTTTATCATTTTTTCTGGGGGAGGAAAAAAGAAACATGTTTAAGCTCTAATAGGGTTGATTATTTTTTTTAATTTGAACTTTTTCGACAAATCATAATTACCCACTACCCCAGGCACATTTCAGGCAAAAAAACCCCAAAAACAAAAACAAAAAAACCCCAAAACAAAAAAAGAACAAACCACACAAAAATGCCATTTTTGACCAGCTCTACTATACTATTTCACTAGGGTATTCAACTCACTTTTCCCTTGATTTTCCCTGGGGGTCACAATGAGTGCTAGCTATAATCTGTGGTTTCAAAAAACTGCCCATTTATCTATAGGCCCCCATTTGTTGATGTAAGAGACTTCACTTATACACATATGTTTGAAAATGTCCTCAGCCATTAGCCCCCTGTCAATCACCCCAGAATCATAGAATCATATGCAGAACAATGACATTGTATAATGGTGCATTGTATAATGGTGTATAGCTGCGGTGTCAAAGATAATAGCCTGTGGGCTGGATTTAGCTTCTGCCACATCATCTGGATCCTGGTTCTGGACCCATATAGGGCCAATCGAGGCCCTCCCCCACATGCTAGATCCAGCACCTGTAGTGCCTACTCTGGCCAGTCCAGGACTGAGCCCCATGTGGTGCCTGCTTTGGCCAGTACAGTACGGGAGCTGCACATGGCACCCACCCCAGTTGGCACAGGTTGTCATGTGCAGCATGGGTCATGGAATGGGTGCTGTGTATGGTGCAATCCCAAACCAGCCAGAGCAAGCATTGTGGGGGCTGGATCCAGAATGTGGGGAAGGGGGGAAAGGGGTCTGTGGGCCCAATCCAACCCGGGGGGTCTGGGGACTGATCCCTCACCACTCATCTGGCAGCTATGTGCTACTCAACCACCTGCAACACTTCATAAGACTAATATATCTGACCAAGAACACCAGCTTCATCCAGTGGTGACATGCTACATGGGTTTGCTTGCTAAGAGACAGCACATGCATTATACATGCTATTATAAAGCAAACCTCGCACCAAGTCACTTAAAGAACCAGACAAATGGAGAAAGCTTCATCAGTCCGCTCCCACTGGGCTCACCTACTGTCCCCATAGGGCATGGTTGCTTTGCCACCTGTCCTTGCCGGGTCTTAGACCACATGATCTCGCGGGCTTCCACAGCCTCGCAGCTCTCTGCCCCTACAGCAGGGAGCTGGGAGGAAGCAGGCGGGAGATGCGTGGTCATCTCTTCAGGGATGTCTACAGCCGGGGATGGGGTGCTGGTGCTGCGGTTCCGCCTGCCTGTGGCTGACGTGGTGGTGGTGCGCCCAGTGCTGCTGGTGGTGACTCGCGGTGTGGTGCTGCTTGTGGTACTTCCTGTGCCCAGCGCTCCTGATGGTGATACTTCTAGGACAAAGTGAAAACATTTTTTTTTTTTTTTT